ACAGGCTTCGGATCTGTTACACCAATGCACGAAGCTTACTTAATAAGCGATCGGAACTAGGTGTACAGATTGACTCTATAAAGCCAGATATAATCGCAGTAACAGAAACCTGGCTGACACAGGCTATAGATAGTATAGCACTTGATTTCGAGGGCTTTACGTTAGTAAGGGCCGACAGAACACAAAAGCGCAAAGGAGGGGGAGTAGCTCTATTCATTAGGAATGCTATCCCATTTACCATTATCGATAGTGTATCCCATGAGAGTGGGACGTGTGAATTAGTTAGTCTTCGCTTAAAATGCAAGGGACAAGAGCTGCTGATTGGTTTGGTCTATCGCAGTCCAAGCTGTGAGGCAAATGAGATCCTGTTAAGCAGTCTCAATACTTGGTCCCAAAGTGGTCGATGTCTAATCCTAGGGGACTTTAATGCACCTATGGTAGACTGGGAAAATCTGAGAACTAAATCGTCGGAGAATTCTTTCGAGCAGGAACTAGTTGATGCGGTTATCACATGTGCCCTAGTGCAACATGTGAAAGAAGCGACTAGGTACGACCCGGACACTGAATCATCCTTATTAGATCTTATACTGACTCACTATGAGGATGATGTTGCGAACCTCCACCATATGCCACCCTTAGGTAAAAGTGACCACGCAGTCTTAACTTTCGACTTCCATATAACTGCCAGTCATGAGGACGCGTCAGTCCAATCCAGACCCAACGTCTGGAAAGCAAACATACCAGACATCATGCACTCAGCATCGTTAATAGATTGGACAATAGACCCAGAGTCCTCCATTGAAACGGCCTGGGACACATTTCGAAAATCATACTTAAAAGTTACCACACCTCACATCCCTTGGACTATACCAAAGGGGCCGAAAAACTCACCACCATGGTTCAGTAGGGAGGTCCGTATCCTTCTCCGTAAGAAAAGGAAAACGTGGGATAGATTTAGGTTACTGGGGACTGATGAGTCAAAATCTCAGTATCGAAAGGCTCGGAACACTTGTGCCTCGACCCTCCGTAAGTCTAGAAAATTGTACGAAGAAAAACTTGTTAAGGAATCCATAGAATGTCCTAAACGCTTGTATTCCTATATAAACCAAAGGACAAGGAGAAAAGGAAATATTCCTGCTCTATGGGGAGACAGTACTGCTTCATCATTAGTGGAGGACGACTTTGGTAAGGCTCAAGCGTTCTCGAACTACTTTAGCAACGTGTATACCATAGAAGCGCCCTTCTCGTCAGCGTATACAGATCCCCCCATACATACACTGGATAGCGTGACCATTAAAGAACTCGATGTCTTTGATCTGCTAAATAAGCTTGACACAGGTAAATCCACGGGGCCCGATGAATTACATCCTAGGCTACTGAAGGAGTTATCTAACTTCGTTGCGAACCCTTTAAGTACATGCTTTAACCTATCCGTTACGCAGGGTCGCTTACCGAAAGATTGGAAAAACGCCATAGTAAGTCCTGTCTTCAAAACAGGCACGAAACACAAACCTGAGAACTACCGCCCCGTTAGCCTAACTAGTGTGGTTGTTAAAATATTAGAAAAGATTATTCGGAAGGAGCTGTTTAAGTATCTCGATAAAAACCGGATCCTCTCGGAGAAGCAGCATGGCTTCAGAATAGGTTATTCTTGTCTCACTAACTTATTAGTGGCTCGTGAAAGCTGGTGTGCTCTTAAGGACCAAAAGCTACCTGTAGACGTCACCTTCATTGATTTCAGTAAAGCCTTTGATAAAGTTCCGCACAACCGGCTGTTATATAAGTTAAGACATGTCGGGATTGGAGGTAATTTATTGATGTGGATAAAAGACTTCTTAGTTGGGCGTCAACAAAGAGTAAGGGTAAACTCAAAGTTATCTAGCTGGGAAACTGTGCTTAGTGGAGTGCCCCAGGGTACAGTTTTGGGGCCAGTGCTATTCCTCTTGTATGTAAATGACCTTCCTTGTCTCCTATCATCATCGGTCTTGCTATATGCTGACGATGTCAAGATATGGAGAACGATACGATGTAAGAGTGATAGCTTAGAACTTCAAAATGACCTGAAGAAGTTATCTGAATGGTCTCAAACATGGCAGTTGCCGATAAATACTTCCAAGTGTGTTGTGATGCATATCGGTCATCAAGGCACAGATACATACACGATGAATAACACTGAGCTACCTGTCGTCCAGACATATAATGACTTAGGAGTTATCGTTAGTCAAGACTTAAAGACTACTGCACACTGCCGTGCAATAGCCGCCAAAAGTTTTAGAACGTTATGGTCAATACGTAGGGCTTTTAGTCATGTCGACACTAAGACGTTTTTGACTTTGTATACAGTGTTCGTTCGTCCTAAACTTGAGTACTGCATACAAGCGGCTAGCCCCTGCTTTAAAAAAGACAGAGAGCTCCTGGAAAAGGTTCAGAGAATGGCGACTAAGCTGGTTCCCGCAATAGCGAAGCTTCCGTATGAATCTCGACTGGCCAAGCTGAACCTTTTCCCGTTGTCATATCGCAGAACTAGAGGCGACTTGATTACAGTCTACAAATTGCTTAGTGATAAATTTGCACCTAACATGCCCTCATTTTTCTTGTCTTCCAAAACAGAGAATTTACGAGGACACTCCAAAAAAGTTCATAAGCCGAGAACAAATTACTTGTCAGCTGACTATCGACTTTCCCATCGAATCATCAACGAGTGGAATTCACTACCTCAGCACGTGGTTGAGGCTCCATCCGTCGACTCTTTCAAAAGAAAGTTGGATCAACTGAGAGACCACCATTGCCAGGACTAACATAGGCCATCGAGCCTCCTGTCCTTCCCAAACTGAAACTGAAACTGAAACTGAATATTGGCTACTCTGCCTCTCGTGTTTTCTTTTACTTGCTCCCTCTTTCAGCCCCCTTGAGATATGGAACAGGTTACTTCATCTTGCACCATCCTTAAAGCCTTGGATATCCCAAAGGGACATAAGGTTGCGATTTCTAGAACCTCATGCCTTTAATGGGCCCATTCTTGACCATCAGTCGCACATTCGCAACGCAACTCTCGTGAAGCGCGCCAACTATAATACTGATTAAAACTATCTACATTCATGTCTTATAAATTTTCAACCCAGCTATGTAATTTAATACAGTGTATATTGTATCATTTGTATCAATTTGATCTTGCCTGTAAACTGGCATGCCTCATGTAACAAACTGTTATTTGAGAATATATTATTATTATTATTATTACAATATCTGTCGAACGCACTTTCTGGAGAACAGATAACTGGTGGTAAAACTCATCCTTGATTGCATCCGGGCTGGAATCTGTCGGGGCATAGGCGGAGATGACGAAAAGACATCGTTTCTCACGCCGATTTCTTCTCACTTTGATGGAACTTTCTAATCTAACAGCACATAACCGACTGTTAATGAGGATCCAATCGATTAGTACTGTCTCAGCGACATCAGCGCCAGCAAGACCAGACGAAGATGCCACAGGGTCCCCGAATAAGCGCACGTAAAACAAGCTTTTCGAAGCGACAGATGGAGAGCGAATTTGTATTACTTCGCCAGTCTTGAATACGGTTCTAGGATAGACAACAAACATCAATATTAAGACTTTCCAAAGACATAACCAGCTCTGTCTGTTGTCCGACTTACATAAATGTGCGAACGTTGAAGGCAGCCAGTTTGAATGGTGCACGCGGCTTCAGAAAAACTGCTCCAGTACTCATATTCGGTGGTGAAATACAATTTTCAACCGCACAGTGACTCGAGTGCGTTTAGATAGAGTCGAATTTCCACCATTGGCGATCTACAGTATAAGCTGAAAAATAATGATACATAAAGTGGGAATAAAAAAGAGCAAATAAATGGTGTAGTAAATAACAATAATAATAATGATAACAATAGTATTAATAGTTGTAATTGGATCATTTGAATGTTAGTTGAAGCAAGAGAATTAATTTCCATAGTCATAGACAGTTCATTTCATTATTTGTGTGTCGACAGCGATAATCTCCGGGTGCCAAAACCGAAGCAAGAGGTTTTCTTAGGAGGCAACAGCCCGAGCCTTTGACCTAAAGGTCTAACCCACAAGGCAATGGAGCATCGTAAGGAGATGCAGTCCAATGGTAGCCGGTGACCAACGATCGGTTCATACGCCATTTGTTCCCGCAGGATGCTGGAGTTCACGTGCACCATTGGTTTAGAATCCGATTAAAGCGCTGGACATTCGCTTTTCGTCCTCTTAATTTCGTAAACAACAACCCACCACGCTCTCGGCCATACCAGGGCATTTTAGGGCATCAGCCAAAGTACTTGGCGAGGCAACACTAACAGTCACTTGTTTGGGGACAAAACATCTGTTCAAATATCAGAAAAGCTCATTCCCAAAATAGCACCAAAAGTGCATAAAGAATGGATTGAAATCAATGGCTTTCATAGATGATAAAAGCATTCATGAACGATCATTGGCTTTCTAAATACTACATTCGTTTTCTATAATTAATGATAATTTGAAAAAGTCATAGCGAAAGAGCTTAATTTATATATGTGTAGTGTCGAAAATTTATCGAAAAGTTTAAAATAACGGATTTCTTCTTCCACTTCAGAAATTTAAATAAGCCTCTTTGACACCCTATGAATTGCATTCAGTCGTGTCTATACAGCTAAAGGATGGAAACATTTGTGATACGTTCCAGAAGTGTTTTGGTAAAGGCGGATTAAGAAGTACGTAATTGCAGTTGTTCATAGAATAAAGCTGCAGTACTCCTTGTCGAAGGTTTGAGTTCTTTTGCAGTATCAAGAACAAAGTATCAGAAATGATCAAGTATTTAAAAAAATTAACAATATTCTATTCGCGGTTTGCTTTTTTGCTACTATTTGTCGTCATGCATCGTGAATTTGTTTTAACCAATAAAATGTTGAGTAGCCATACAATGACTTAGCCCATCGCAGGTGGCGGCAAGGCTCACGTATGGTCTTGGCAGTCTACCTTTCGTGAAATGCGAGTGTGAGTGTCTGCGAAGAATAAATAATAGCATTTGCAACATAAGCTTCGTTAGGAGCTGATTAATGTTTGAAACGGGATGTAAATTAAACTGTGGTTACTGTATTCGTACCACATGCTAAATATAGCATAAAATCTGACATCTATGGACAACCTATGTTCAGACTACCTGTCCGTCCCATCAATGTGCTTCGTGCACTAAGTATCCGCAGTGTGCTTCGAGGCTTTCTATTGCTAGACGTCTTAATGTTGGTCCACGCCAGTAGGTCTATGGGTTAATCCAGAGGCAATCAGACAAGTAACAACCTAATCACCACATAGCTTTCATTTTTGCCATGTGACTTGACAACACAGTACAATAGTCTGTCTTTTGCCTTTGCCACTAGTGACTTCGTAACGCTAAGTATTCCGACTATACGGACCATGGTTTGGCAAGCTGACAAAGTGATTTTCTCCGAACTTGGTGTAGTCTACGGTTGTGTTATCATCCCTGTTCTCTGTCCCTGCAGTGGTCATGATCGCATGGTAGAAGTGTGCAATAGGATGATCAACCGCAGTGATATGCAGTCACTACATGCTTTCATCAACCTTAGTACTGACTCAGTCACAGACATCGTAAAACCTAGTGTGTCTCGATCCGAGTTATCACACTACATCAGCATCGTGAGATAATATTGCCATACAAGTCTCAGAGTAGTACAAGTGATAACTTTCAATAGCAAAGGAAGAGGTACAAACCAAGAAAGTAGTAAATTTCAGTATTCAGGGTCTGAGGACATGAAGAATAGGCCGGCCTTTACCATTTTTGACGATTCCGAGCCGTGCTACTCAAAGTCTCAACTCGTCGGTTACGACTCGCGAAAATCCCAACATGTTTGTCTATGCCTACATACATGACTGAGCCCAAAAGTCAGTGACAGGCTGATGCTGTCCTAGTTTGGTCGCTCCCAGCTTTCACCCTACTCATATAACAAATATCGCTCTCCAAGGTAGGTGGTGGTAGGGCGTATGCAACGGATGTCCAGTTAACTTCGAGCGTTGACAATATGCTACTTCATCATTTCTCTTTGGCATTGCTATTATTTCGAGATACCATTTCACTTTGGTTGTGCGACAGTATTTGTGCCAGATCAACATGACAGACTTGCGACTCGGTGATCCGTTTGATCGCTTACTACTTGTAGTTTCCTTTTGCTTTACTCTACGTTCAAAAGTCGCAGCCATGGTACTAAAAGTTTACGAATTATATGTGCAACATCTGTTTGTACTCGATCTGGATTCATGTTACATCCCTTGTGACGCATGGCCAGCGGTAAGTCAACAGCGATTGACATGGGTCTAAAACTCAAATCTTACCATTGGTCTTGTCTTGGTAGTTCGTGAGTTGGCTTCTCCGCCACTATCTCGCATGGCATTGTTTTCAAAGTTAATTTTCGACTGTCTTGTTTAGTTCCAAATATTCAATCCCTAAAGTTTGGTTAAGTGCGTCCACTTTCGGGTCACCGAAGATGACTATAATTCTTTAACAGTCTGTCGTCAGCTAGTTGATAAATCATTGACGTTTTGTGGTTTCAAATTCCTCTCACGCTAATCGAAAATGCACTGAAATGGTACGTTCTAGCAACGAGTTCTAAAAGGAGTAGAATCATAGTTTGTTGTTGATTCAGAATAATTTGAATCCTGGTTGTGATCGGCAAAAAATTGGATATAGTTATTATTTAATGTTAGGATGTTTCAGGAACAAAGTTAAGACCGACGGAATAAGAATAACATCCAGAAGTTGCTTTTTACTTGTACGACAGACGAATATTTCAAAACTAACAGTTTATCCTACCTGAGATAACTTGTCAGTTACAGTAATACCTCATCAGCAAGTAAAGTTAATTGTTCCATCCCGTTCGCTCTATGGCAATAGGTTACTATTTTAACATTAATTTAAACAGGCCCGTTGTAAAATTTTTCCTGTAGCCATCATGAAGTTACCAATAATATTTCCTCACTCTTCTCTATTTTGCTAGTGTTGTCTAACCAGAGTGTCGAAACGAAAGTCCTGTTGACTGGACACCGTTCTTCGAGTATGCTTTTTCCTGATACAGGCTAAGAACGCTTATCATAAATACATCAACTCATGCTCAAAAATAACCGCTGTTTGGTAATGTCATGGAAATACATGTCATCTAAATTTTAATGGGTTACAAAGTTTAGTTTCAAGTTGCTCTTATCCATTGCGGTCGTCGGCCCCTGTTTAATTAACTACGTAAATTTGTAGGACTTCGGACAAACTGCATACGTTCGAGTAGTGCTAAGCAGAGCTTTATTATAGGTATCTTATTGACAGTTAATCATTGCATAGTATTGATACAAAGTGACATGATGATAATTATGTGTCTTATGAACTCGTAGCTGTGTTGGTCGTTTCTGAATTAATTATTGTTCTTGTTTTTTAGCGATATGGATCCTGCCTCCATTTTTGAGGATGCACTTAAAGGTCTTGCAACTAAGGATTTCGATAACGGAAATGCTAAACCATGTGACAGTCTACAAACGTCAGTTAATGGTTCTAGTGACTTTCTAAAACCTGAATCTTACATCACGTATCCCGACAATCCACAATTACCTTTCATACAAAATACTCAAAAGGCTTCAGAAGAAGCTCCTAGTGCTTCTCAAAATGACATCATCCTCAGTGCTCTCATAAATGCTGGGATTGCTCCATCCTCTTTAAAACCTCAAGAAGTTTACTCTAATACTCCTTCAGTTTCAGTTACTGTGAATCCAAACGTCAAAGTTCTCAATGCTCAAGGTACTACCATACTGAGGGTTGTTCCATCAGGAAATGGCAGCAATTCACCAGTTCAGCAAGCATATCCTCCTCGAATGGCTAGTCAGTTGTTAAAGAAGCCTTCTGATAATGGTCTTACAATGTCTGGAATTACTCACATGCCAAATATCATACGGAAAAGGCCTCCTTCGCTTGTCGAAACTAGTCAGCCTTTTTCGAAAATCAGACGTGTACTTAACCATGGCCCAGTAGATAAAGACGTTAGCCATCAGATCACAGCATTTTCTGGTATGGGTACTGTCCCAACTAGCTCAAGTAAATGGTATGAGGCTCCTAATGTTTCACGACCATCCTTGCCTCCTCACTGCGTTCGGGTACCTAGTCACACTCAAATGACTCCCAGATCATACCCGTTGATAAAAGTAAGTTCCTAATTTTCGTTCAAATATCTATTATTACATCTAGGATGCTCTTAGTTCCTTAATTTTTCAGTGTTGAATGCGATAACCTGTGTCTCACACTCCTGTCCAAGCTTTTGCGTTGCTCGTTCACATCTGTTCTGCGATAGTAAATCGATTCCATCAAGCTTCCTGTTACTACTTATCAGCTTCAAAAGCACCGAGTAATACCGAGACTAGTGTACATGTTAAAGGTTGACATGGACTTCTAGACATTCTTTTATATTCAAATTCAACTGCAACTATCCAACTTCTGTCTAATTCAATGCTAACTGAATACTAAGGGCCTTTGATCTAGACACTCGGAGATGAGAATAGATACACTGCTTTCGCTTCTTGTAGTGTCGTTTCTCATATATAATTCATTGAACAGGACTGTGTTCTGCGTTATTCGTTAGAATGATATGTTTTCAAAGTTTACTAGCAGCTTGAAAGCGTTGTACACAAACACCTCACCCAGGGTGAGAGCACATAACCACCTATCTTTATTGTTCCACCCGAGCAGTAAGGTTACGCACAGTTGCTCAATCTCATCACTCTCCTTTAATTTTCCATCGATAATATTCTGGAAACAATTCTGATGGAAGTGGGTATTAGTGGTGTAGGTCTGTCATTTGAAAGAAGGCTTCGTTCTTTAGTATTTACATTATATTGTCTTACTGTGCGATGATACTCAACCTATCCATATCTCAGTCAGTTTGCAACCAATTTCTGTAGGTATGACATGCACTTTGCTCCTTCTAACTCCAAAGTACTTCTGCAGGACTTGAAGGGACCTGTGTTGTCACTCACTCTCTGTGATGATCTGCCAGAAGTAGTGAAGGCCGTGCGTCAGGATAGTTGCGAGTGCTAATGGTGATGTGAACTATGAGACTAATTAACATATAGTGACAGCCAGATAGACTTGCGCCAATCTGGACAATCTTTAGGACCATCGTGATGTTGGTCTGGGTGTAAACTGTCGAGTTTGCAACGCCGCGTTAGTTCAGTCAGTCAGTCAATTAGAGCGATTTCGCCCAGTGCCTGCGAAACCTGGCCTCGAGGTGAGGACGTTCAACAACTCTCTGTTCTATCACCGTTGTCTCCGAATGATTACTGACATTCAGCGGCAACACTTATCAACTACTCTGAGGTTTGGCAATATGTGTTCAGTTTCAGTGAAGACAAATTAATTAACGTTACCAACTCGAAACAACGGCTTCGGTGAGCTGGACATGTGTCACATAAGTCATCCAAGTGGCTTCCACATCACGCAATATTTACCTGTACTGAGATGGAGTGGAAAATGTGGAGGTGATCAGTTTATAATATGGTAACGTGGTGTGATGAGAAAGTGAGCTATATAGGACTGTCATCAGTCGGTCCGACACAATCGCCTGGTCAGAGTTGTAGAGATGGGGCAACTCACTGGCTTGATATTTTATCAGATATAGTTCAGAATAGAAGGTGGTGCAGATCTTGCAGTAATTTCCTCTTATGTTCGTCATAAAAAATGTACAACTCGTACAACCAGGAGAATTTCTGAATCTATTTAATTTATTCAGAACTATTATGATGGTCATTAGGAACGTTGTCTACGTTAAAAATAGTAAGAGTTTAATCTGTAGATGAATTTGTTGATCACTACATAAATTCGCTTCTAATATTGATGTGTTGTTTTGTTTACAAACATGATTTTTTGAAGTCATTTTAGTATGCTATCGAGAAACTTGATGTCGTTTATTCTCTCTTTTAGCGAGATGAAGATATGGATGAAGATGAAGATTTAGCTCAAGCTGAAACGTATGCTGACTATATTCCGTCAAAACGTAAGAGAATTCATGTTTTCACAATATACATGCACTCATAATTAGTGCACTGCACATTAATTGTGTTGTGTTTCTAAGTGGGTGCAACATCAATGCTTGTGTATGCTACAGGACCAGCATTAGGAGAATTAATGCTTGGTAGTTTTGCATACTATAGTCTTCGATTAGTGTAAATATTTTAGGAATAACCCATATGATTTGATCATGTTCTTACTTCATGAGTTTGACTAAGTAATAAGGCGATCAAATTGAATAAGCGTCTATACGGTTGTTGGTAGGACATTTACTTTGTATTAGTGTACATATATTTTCATCAAATACACTGACCTGAATACGATGATCGTTAAGATGACTACTATCAAATTGTCCTAGTCGTTATTAGCCTTATAAAATAGTTGGTTACATCTTCTTAACAAAACTTGAGAATCATTTCGACTGATTAAAAACAAAGTGTTAAAAGTGACTTTATTTCCTAATGGAGTTGGAAAAAATGAGATGAAGGAGCAAAACATAATGTTCGTCTTTCAAACTTCAGAGTTGCGGTCCAACATTAGTGGGTTTACTAAGGAAGGTACCAATGGGTATAGAGGTCCGAAATAGGTTCCATCGGCACACCTAATCTATTAGGTGCTCTTGTTTAAAAGAAATAACAAAACTTTTTTGATAGCTACAGACAAATCAGTTTAGCTAACATTCACTTAAATATCAAAATCTAGTCATCTGATACCCAAATAGAAGAAAGCAAACCTAAGGAAATAAGGTGTCTCAAAATTATATTCGACCCACTAGTTCAATATTTTACGTTAAATCCTATTAGCTGTTTTTCTGCACTGGCTATTTTCCTTAGTCAGATGACTTAATTGAAAAAGCTTATTGAAATAGCTAACCTCAAAGGAGTTGCTGAAAAAAGTATATTGATTATGGAAAATGTATGACTCGAGTCTTGGTACATAAACCTATTTTCGGTTACTAAGTAACATTCGTAATTGTAACTAAATTTTTATTACAGCTTTCATAGGAGTTGAAGTCCTGATGTTATGTCTTGACTTGACAGTGGTACACAAATAAGCAACTTGCTACTCAAACTAAGATTTCAAGTGTTTTGTCTGGTGACACAAGTTTATTTGTTTTCAATCTTTCACTCTAAACTTGTAACCCTTTGTTACAACCTATTAACTTGTGTTCTCCGCTTTGTTGGTAAAAAATCTTTTTGTACCATCTACACAATTAAAAAATAACAAGTCTTGCTGAACCTGAAAGTTTCGTGTCGGGATTTCGCTAGTTTGTAGTGAAGCATTATATATATATATTTACATATGTGATGGGGCAACCTTAGTAGATACAGTCCCATGATAGACGGTGACCAACAATAGGTTCATATGCCTTTTGTTCTCTCAGGATCCCGGAGCCCATATACACCAGTGTTTTCCAACTTCCCTATGTGGATCTCCCGTGTCCACCAACCCGGTTAATGCGCCGGACATTTGCCTTTCGCTCTCAATTTTGTAAACAGCACCCTCGCCATGAGAAGGCATCGAGCAGGACTTGCTTGATAGTGGCTGTTTACATTTGTCCATGAGAGAGCATTTCGAGAAGGAGAGTGAACTTAATAGTTATACAATAAGATTGTGTCAGTCCGTAAATAGATCCTAGCAATTACCATTCTCTTATTCTTCGTTCGGATATAACAATTACTCGACATTTACTCTTACAATTTATCAATTCTTGCGTATTATCTATTAGTCTTTACCGTTCTTCATTATTCTTTTGAGAAAGGACTGCTATATTCTGGAAAGTGCTGAAGACAGCAGTGGTGAATTATATGGTTGTGGACAGACATCTAAAGTCCTGTAAACTTCTGACAGGTGTTATCTTATTAAATGCTAACTATTCACTTCATTCATATATTTCTCCTTGTATTGTGTACGCTACTTATGTTGGTAAATATAAGTAGTATGTAACATCAGTCAGAGGTGGAATGCCTGGCTGCAGAAGATTGGGAAGATAAAATTGAAGAGTCAGTTAGTACCAACGTAGAACTTCGTACGTACGTACATCAGTTCGAGTTGCCACACCACACTAGCACAGTGATGCAGTTGTCGATTCAAATCCCGTAGTGCTAGATGTAGTAAAAGTATAGGCTGTAATCAGAAAAATTAGGGTTTGAAGATGTTATTCAAGGAGTATAATCCAGTGGAATAAGTTTGGAAAGAGAAAAAAGAAAGGGACATGAAGAAATCAAAAGATTAGAATTTGGGAGAACACAAAGAGTGGATGCACCTGCGCCATTGCAAACGATTTTCAACCATGTCATTCAGGGTCTCTAACTATCGGTTGCTTTCATCTCGTGGTCCCCAACCAGGTAGTCTACACCTACCAACATGACTCAGTCCACTTGTCAGTGACTTCATGGACTTGTTCCATGTTTTGGTCTGGCCGCCCCTACCTTTCTTCCAACCTACTCCTATACCGCTGAACATAGCACGTCGAGGCAGTCGGTCGTTGGGCATACGTAACGTGTCCCAGCCATCTCAACTGATGAAGTTTCACCACTTCATCAATCGATTTGCCATCCTTACCTAGTACCCGTTTCCTAACAACTGCGTTACTTATCCAGTGGTTCCAGGATATACGAGCAATGTTTCGAAGACACCTATGATCAAATACTAGTAACCTACGGATATCCTCTACTCTTACCGGCCATGTTTCACTGCCATAAAGTAGGACGGAACGAACTGCTGCGCAGTAAACACGTCCTTTGGTTAATAGACGGATATCTCGCCTACGCCATAAATGACGCAAGTTGGCAAAAGCTAGTCGAGCCTTCTGTATCCATGCTGAGATTTCGTCACACACCAGACCACAATTTATTTATTTATTTATTTATTTGAACACATAAATATTGGTACAAGAGAGCGCCAATATATATGCGCCACACAAAACAATGGGAATTCGAAGAGAAGTAGAAAGAAAAAAAAAACTAAGGAACGCAAAAGAAAAAGAGAGTAATGACGAAGAGGTACAATCAGAAGAAATCTTTCAGGTAAAGGAGACACAACCACTTTTTATGAAGAAAGTAAAAGAAGGTTACAGCAGGATCGCCACTGGCTTCTATTCTGAGCCATATCTGATAACGTCTCTAGCCACTGTGTTGCACCATCTCTCGGACCCCAGCCAGGGAGTCGTGAAGGACCAACACAAGCCAGTCCTTTGCAGCTTTCTTTCATGCCACGACACCATGTCATGCACTGACCACCTCTCCGCTTCTTCCAACCAGTCCCAGAGTCGGCAAATAATGCACGACGTGGAATTCTCTGGGACGACATTCGGAGAACATGTCCAAGCCACCGAAGTCGGTGTTTCAAGATGGTGACACCAATTGAGTTATCATCTCTGTGCCCGAACACACGATGCCGAACCTCTGCATTACTGACATGGTGTTGCCACTGAATGTCAGCAATCCTTCGGAGACAGCGATGATCAAACACAGAGAGTCGTCTAACGTCCTCAACTCGGAGAGGCCAGGTTTCACAAGCATAGAGCAAAACTGCTCTCACCGACGCGTTGTAGATCCGGCCTTTTACAGCCAGACTGACATCACGAAGGCGCCAAAGGTGGCCCAGATTGGCATAAGCCGCTCTGGCTTTCACTATTCGTGCATTGATCTCATCACTCACACCCCCACCAGCACTTATGCAGCTACCCAGATACACGAACTTCTCAACTACGTCTATCTGCTCACCATCCAGGGTGAGTACAGGATTGGGATCCTGCCAGTCTTGTAGAAGTACTTTGCACTTCGAAGGCGCAAAGCACATACCATACCTACGGACATTGATTGCCAACTGATTAAGTGCGGATTGCATGCCTTGGGCATTATCGCACAGTAAGACAATATCGTCCGCATACTCAAGGTCGAGAAGTCTTTCTCCAGGCAACAGATCCACACCACCATTACTTACATTCATCAGAGCTGTTTCCAGAATGTCATCGATGGCAAAGTTGAAGAGGAATGGTGAGATTGGGCAACCCTGCCTAACCCCACTGCTCGAATGGAACAATGGAGAGAGGTGGTTGTATGCCCTCACTCTGCCTGAGGTGTTTTTATACAGGGCTTTTAGGATGTTAATAAACTTCTCAGGCACACCCTTCTTCAATAGACAATCCCAGAGAACAGTCCTATCCAACGAATCGAAGGCAGCCCTGATGTCAAGAAACACTACGATTGTTGGCCTTTGAAAAGTATGGCGGTGTTCTAACATTTGGCGGAGGGTGAAGATATGATCAATACATCCTCGACCAGAACGAAAACCAGCCTGCTCCTCGCGAGTCAATCTTTCTCGGGTTTTGAACAACCTACGAAGAATGACGGAAGCCAATAGCTTGGACGCAATCGGAAGTAAACTTATCCCCCGATAGTTGTTACAAGAACGACGTGAACCCTTTTTAAAGATAGGGACAACTATCGACTCATTCCATGACGTTGGTACACTCTCTAGATCCCAAACCTTTGTAAACAACGTCGTCAATTCCTTAGTCAAAAAGTCACCACCATCTTTAAAAAGAGCCGGAGGTAAGTCATCTGGGCCAGGTGATTTGTAACGCTTCAAGAGTTGGAGTTCCTTGTGGACTTCCTCCTCATTTGGTGGATCAGTCGTCACCGGCCATGGAGGGCAGGACAGTCTGACCGATGTTACCGGAGCAGCAGGCCAGTTGAACTGCCCTTCGAAAAATTCTGCCCATCGTCCAAGACGTCGATGGATGTTTGTGATTGGCATCCCATCATCCTCGCAGATTGTTTCACTCACACCAGACTTCTTGCTGCCAGTGGCTCGGATGAGTTGGAAGAGCTTCCGGTAGTTACCAGATGCAGCTGCTGCTTCCAGCTCATTAGCACGCATCGACCACCAGGCTTCTCGGTCCTTACGCAAGCTTTGCCCGATTTCCTTACGTAAAAACCTTCGTTTATGGTCAAACTCACGGTTACCCGGAGTAGACCG